TAATGTCAGTAGCTTTATTCTATAGATTTGGTTTATTGGTATGTTGGGACGTCGCATGGACAAAGAAGCATAAAACATTTAACTGTAATTAGTATATGAATATTTCCCCTTTATTTATAATTACATTAATATGAGATAAGTAGTGATATTTTGAAACTAACAGCATATTTTTTTCAGACGTTGCCTTTAATACGTATAAACTAAAAGCAGAATTACAAAGTAAAGCAAACTTTACCTGTCTCGTAAGGAGTACTGGGTCTTATAAAGCAATAAAGATCTTGAAAATAATCAACAGCACATCAATGATGGAAATGGCTTCATATACATCATCATCTGATTCAGTACAAAATATAGCCGGGGTTGATGCAAATTTCAGCAGCAATGCTCTAACCTTGATATTTGCCTCAGTAATGTGCTCTGACGAAGGGCAATATAATTGCACTGTGATCATGGATGATGATGCGGAACTTCAGCCCCCACTTTCCCTTGATGTTCAAGTAACAAGTATGTTGGGCTTATTTTATTTATTTTAATTTTCTTTTTACACGAATATTTAAAATCCAATTGCTTACAGTTATTTTTTTTATAATAACTCTGATAATTTTTAAAGCATCACCAGGCTTCTCAACGGTCGAATTGTTTGTGAACCCAGACATTGTTGAAAATAAGGATTCTGGAACTCATCATTGCCTTGGTCCTGTTGGGTACCCGGAAGTTGGAGGTCATTTAGAGATTACCTTTGTCCATCCTTTAATAAACTATAATATAACGCTTAATAAAAATAGCACAAGGACTATTTCCGGTAATGAAATAGAAATTAAAAGCACTTTGGAACCTTTTACTAAAGAAGATTGCAAAAATATGGAGAAGATTTCTTTCACAATAAATTCTTCAAAGAACTGGAACAAAGGAAAAATAATCTGTGAAGTTAAAAATGGAGAACATAAGGCAACCAAAGACGATATTTTCTTTGTTATTGATGGTAAAGATTGATACATTTTGTGGTTTAAAAACGGTTCGGTACGCTTGTCAGTATATAATCAAATCTTCATTGTATTGAACATGCAGTGAAGTAAGAAAAACTTTGAAAGATAATAGCAAGAGATATGATGTGAATATGAGTATGATTTGATAAGAAAATGCAAAGTATATAACATAATTTCAATCTTGCACATGTGTTACAAAAAGAGAAAAGTATTTGACTATTTATTCGAATATATTTTTAGGATCATTCTGCAATTCTACGAACAACCAAGAAATTTATTTTGACCATGAAAAAGAGGACTTTTGTAACACCTATATACAATGCAGTGGAGGGAAACCTTTTGGAAGATCTTGTAAGCCAAACCGGTGTGTGTACATTGGTAAAACGTATTGTGAAGACTGTTCCACTGCTGTATGTTCAGAAGGAGTTACAACTACAGGTAATATGTATTTCCACTTTTAAATACAGAGAAGAGTTAACGTATAGAAATACACTTTTTCGCTATTAAAATTATACACAGTAACAAAATAACTATTACTTACATGTAACTTAACTTACTTCAGGGCTATTATTCTTGTATCAAAGACTTTAAGACTTTCTTCATTCATTACAAGGCTATTTCTCATCACAATTTGATTTTCCTATTATTTAGAAGTCACATTATCAAGCTTTGAAACAACACCAGTACCTGGTCCTCGTTGTAAGTTTGTAATTCTAATTATTTTTTTTAAAGATAAGAATTCATGTAGTGTATGCTTTAAAAGATTATATTACAAACATCAGATTGTTTTACACACTCATATCAATGTCAGGTTTTCTGGTTTTCTTAACGGTTTCTTATTTTTATTTATATTCATTTCTTTCCTCGCTTTAGACTGGTAGTTTAAGTTAGAAATATACTTTGATGAATATAATTAAAGAGATTTGGAATTGTCGATAATTCAATGTATATTTTCTTTTGTAGCTCTTAATTGTACATCACCGTCTGTATATGAAGGAGAAAGAGCAACAATTCCATGTTCACTGAACGTTTCCTCCTTTGATTTCATATCTATATCTAATGACAAAGGAATGATAATGTCAATATTTGAAAATACAACAGTTATTTATTTCGGCGATTCTTCTTCTACATTTCAAGGTTCTTTAACTGGAAAAACTGTGATTTTTATTGTTAAAAACCTGAACTGTAATAACTCTTTAGATTATGTATTTAAACTTTACAACGGAGGAGAAGTTTCAAGTTCTGTTACAGCAAATCCTCTGATGAAAGGTTAGTTAACTCTTTCTCTCCCCCTCCCTTTTATATTCTTATTTGATTTATCATTCATTGTACAATTTGTTACTTTTTAGTTAAACCAATAACACCCGTCCTAAACATTGACTACAGGTTAGAGATGGGTAAAAACCAGAATTTTCACACTTGCAAAGGTTATGTTGGAAATCCTAAAGGATCCCTTGAGTTGGAGATAAGGAATGGTTCACTAGCAACATACAACAAATACATTCCCACCACTCAATCTTTCGACACGCCGGTTTATGAAAACTGCAATCATTATTTGACTCTAACGTTTTCCATAGACCTAACAAAAGACAATTTGACTGGTCAGCATATAAGATGTCTGGCTAAAAATATCGAGAGTTTGGAAAACACAGATCCTATTCCAACGTCAAATGAAGTTCTAATTATTCCTCTTCCAGGTAAATCTTATAACACTACAGTATATATTCCATAAAATGACAATGCATTCTATGAAAGGACTTTGAAATGAAAGTTAAACAATTAGAAATAATTATTTTTCAAGTATACTCCTTATAGATGATTTTACGTTTAATTTGTTGAATTGATTCCTTTTGATAATTCCACAAACAATCTAGATACTAAGAATGCCTTATACCCCTTAACATATCAAGGAGTTTAGTTCTTTTTCATGAGTTCTCAATGTGATAGGGGATAGCAAGCAGAAATCTAATGTCATGTTCACCATATTTCTACCCAACTTTGATATTCTATGGATAGGAACAACCTTAGATGGGATTCGAATTCTGAAAATTAATGAATGTTTTAAAGTGTACAAATGTATATACATATATAATATATATATATATATAATATAAAAATATTTTTTTTCATTTTAGCAAATCCTTGTAGCAAAGGTAATGGTGATTATCCACATCCAAGAGACTGTTATCATTATCTCCAATGTTCAAATAATATTGCATATACTCAGATCTGCCCTGGTGGGGGCTGTTTTAATGACACAGCTAAAGCTTGTTTATAAAATGTATACCATAGAAAGTGGGTTTTTTTCAGATTAAATTGCAAAATATTCAATTAAAAAAGACATTATCAGTGTATTATGCTACTGTTAAAATAAAATTGAGAAATATCCCACACTCCTTTTGATTGCAAAGATTGTATAGTGTATAAAAGTGCAAGATAACAAACAGGAACAACCTTGAAAATCCAGTAAACAAACAAAAAATGACGAACAGGGATAAAATACGAAACCTTGTCCTGTCGACTGATCATTTCAGCCGTGAGCCCCCAGTATTGATCATATACTCAGTAGACGTATAGTTTGATTTTATTACATTTTGAACTGTGAAATACTGTAGTTTATTCATTGAGTAAAAATAATTATATTCTGTCACAGAGTGAAAGGATATCAAAATGATATCCTATCACAGTGTGACAAATATCAGAAGTACGGTATTACTTTTGATTTTCCTTCCCAGTAAGGGGGGGGGGGGGGTGTTGTAAAAATTATACCTTGGTCTGTTAAAAGAAAGCTAAAACAAGTAAAGAAAACAAAGAATAAAACTTTCAAAGTTCCACAAATACTTTGCTAAAATCCTTGTTTACAATGCTTTCAATCTCACATCACTTAGCTATGACGTCTCAACCACTCAACTTTGACATCATGTAAGCCCATGAATGTATAACAAAAAGACAAAGGCAAATGGAATATCAAAGAATATGTAATACACAACAAAATACAATGTTTTGTCGTTGAATATGAAAGTTATTTCACGAGTGGGACAGGATTTTTTGATATTTTTACTCGTGCTTTGAACTCGTGAAAATATATTTTTAAAAAAAAATCCTGTCCCACTCGTGAAATAAATTCCATATTCAACATTGAATATCCTTTTAATATAATCCGAAGTCCAATTTCGTTTTAAAATAATGTCCTAACAAATGGATGGAAGCATGTCAGATAAAAACGACCAAACAATCTTGTATTTGCAAACACGTTATTTTAACTAACGTAAAAATTGCGAATTACAAAAAACTGATTTTGAACAGGGTTGCTGAAATCCCTGCAACAACATGCAACAGTCTGTAGACCGCCTCGACTGAAAATCATATTCAGAGCATATCGCTGTATGCAGAACCAGACGCACTAGCCTGGAGATCGACACAACCACCATAATTATGTATATGGTACTTTATAACCGTAACTTGAACAAAGGAAATCAACGATGGAAAGCCTGAAGTCATCCTGTCTGTTAAACAATGTAGTTATTTGTTGGCCCTTGCTATCTATAGTGAAACTTACATTAATGAAGCATATTTTACATGTTGCAAACTCCATAGTGTATTATGTCGAGTTAAATGACATAAACCACATCGACGTATGGAAGAAAAACTAATGTTAATTGATGAAACGTCCTCAGTTTTTATGAATGTCAAATTAAGGCCAAACAAGTGTTTTTCTTCTTTTAAGGTAGGTCCCTACTCGTGGAATTAATTGGTTAACACTGCAATTCTTTATCTACTCCAAATGCACAAAAAAGTTTAAAGATAATCTATATTTTTACTGAGAAAGGGTGTGAAACACTCATGTATCCTCTTGTACCAAAAACAAAATCACGACTATTATAAAGACGGTCTACATTTTATGTCATTGCACATGGCAAATAAATTCTTTTGAACATAAATCACAAGGATAAGGATAAATAATGAATAATATCAGGTTGCGGTACACATTACTGGTTGAAACTTTAAAAATATTGAAGAATTAATCTCATTTTACTAATAAAAGTAACAAAGCTCAAAATTCAAATAAAGCTCTCAACTAGAATAATTAATATGTTTACTATGATTTTTTTGTCTTTGTTTATGGCAACCGATGCTTGAAGTATCTTTTAGTCATGATAAATGTATTGGTCATCTGTCTTTTCACCGAGATATGGGGTAAAACAAACAGGTACCCCAATCGCAGTTTAATAGCTCAAGCCTTTTATGTCAACAAAAATATTTATAAATCAGCTAAAAAGTGAAATATTCTTTTTAAGAAAAATTTTATCCAAATTTGTACACCCTTTCCTAATCATAAACATAAATTTTATTCTCAATTTAATTCTGAATATTTTATATACAAGCGGGAGCATGTCCACTACTAATGATGCGACTTCTCTGGATGCCTATTACTACTTACAAAAGATTATAAGCAAGATATACAATGTCTTGCAAGCAAAATTATGTCTAAAATTTCATATACAACATTAGTAGCATGTGTTGATTTTCTTTTTATTACAACTGAGTACCTTTATTCGTATGTAGAAAATTTGCCGTCAAAACGAAATTAAGAAAATCCCGTCTGCATAGCATATCAATTGTGCACAAATAAAAACAATGAACGAAAAGTATCTATTTAATGACATAAGAGCAAATTATTTGCTACGTTTTCTGTAAATAGGTATCAGAAATATTGGAGTTGTACCAATGCAGTCATAGACGTATAGTATCAATATAACCTCCTAGGTAAAATATATCTGAAATGTCTGGCATTCGACCTCACACCTGTGTTTTAAATCGATTCAATTTTCTGCTACATACTGCATATATCTCAATCCTTGTTTATATTCTTGCTAATGTTAATTGTACCATAATTTTAAAACCGAAAACGGCTAAATCCGGCTTCCAGTTTACCACGAGTAGGCCCCTACTTTAATGTAGAAGTCTTTGAAAATAGTAGTCGCCCGCGTGGCGCAGTGGTTAGAGCGTCTGCTCTAGAGTCACGAAGTTAGGAGTCAAACCTTATGTCGCGGGTTCGAATCCCACTGTGGGACGTGGAGACCGTATAAACCGAGGTCCCCTGTCGCAGTAGGTGCTGGCACGAAAAGGATCCCTCCCTGCTCAATGGCCCTGAGTGCCGAGCATAGGACAAAATTTGCAGCTCTCCACAGGCAAGTGGTGGCGTCTCCATATGAGTGAAAAATTCTCATGAGGGACGTTAAACAACATACATGTACAAGCAAGCAAGCAATCAATCAATCATCTTTGAAAATATTAAGGTTGTAATATTCCGCCACCTGCATGTGGGGTTTATATCTCAAATATCATTCGATATTCAAGTGTATTGTCTTTTTACCCTAATTAAGGTAGGCTACTGACTGATGAGTTGATGTTACCGGGATTTCAACAACCAACCTCCTTTAAAGTCAGCATTTTGTAAATTCTATGGTCTTGTAATGAACTTGTTAGCACATATGTTCTATAACTATGTCGGATATTGGTTGAGGTTTTACATACCAATAGTTATGGCTTTGCTATTTACTAAATTTGATCAAGGAATATTCTGTCTACCTGTCGACAAAGGATGCTTATTCCTTCTAGGTTTATTATGTGTAAAAAGAAGAAAACACTTGTTGTCTGGCATTGTCAATTAACAATTGTAATTTCCATTCTGATCCTGAATAGCTTGCAGATAAAACACATCACAAGAGTTTGACACATCTGTTTCATATTTGGATATTTTATTTGAAAAAGACGTGAACGGTAATCTTATAATCAAGCTCTATGATAAACGTGATGATTTTAATTTTTCTACCGTCATCTTCCCTTACTCATGCAGCAATAAACCTATATCACCTGCATATATGGAGTTTATGTATCTCACTTAATTCGATACACAAGAGCATGCTCTACGTATGAACAATTTCTAAAACGAGGTAAATTATTGACAAAAATATTGATAAACCAAGAATATCAGCAGTCTCGTTTAAAGTCATTACTTCGTAGGTTCTATGCTCGATACAATGACATTGCCAGCAAATACAAATAATCATTGAGTCA